TCTCTCACTTTTTTAATATTTTTAATTTATTCATTATAACTAATATTTCATTAATACGAAAGATAAAAGAATGCAATTCATTTATTTATTTATTTATTTTTATTAGAAAAAAAAATATGGCCGACGCGAGGTTGTTGTTGTTGTTGTTATTCTCGTATTATTAAAATATTATTATTAATACAAAGTAAATTCATTTTTCGTGAATTTCTCATTAAAACTAGTAATAATAATAATAATAATAATAATAAATAATAATAAAAAAAATATTCGGTAATAATGATAATAACATTGAAAGAAAAAAAAAATGATTTATTAAAATAACCGCAAAAAAAAAGTCCTTAAAACTTTTAAAATTTTTATTATGTATTGATATTAATTAAGTTAATAATAATTATTTAATGTTTACATGACTTAAGGAAGGACCTTTTGTAATTATTGTTATTATTATTAATTATTTGCTTTTTAAATATTTTTTCCGATGTACAAAATTGATCGTGTCCGAGTATTAAAAATTTTATTATTATTATTATTTAGAAATGATTCGAAGAAGAAGAAATTCATAGAGTATAAAAATCACGTGACCGTGAAGGTTAAATTTTTTTTTTTTTTGTGGATAATTATTATGTAGAATATTTGTAGAGAAAAAAAAATATTTTCCATACGTTAAAAAACAAAAAAAAAGGAAAAACAACACGAAATTATGTTTTACACATTATTAAAATTTATGACGTCACGAAAGAGAGGAAAAATTGCGGCCAATGACGAACGACGGCGACGAAAAATCGAACAAGACGACATTTAACGTTTTTTTTTTTTTTGTGACTTGTTTTCCATAAAAAAAATTAATCACATTATTTTCGAAAACGTTTTGGCACTCGTTTCATGCGAACATAAGTAATTTTTATCATCATCTTTATCATTATCATTATTATTATTATATCCATAAGTGAAAATCTTAACTCCGGAGGGCCTTTCAGGTTGAATAAATGACCTTGATATTCATTGCCAACAACAAATTATACCTTAAAAAAAAAAAAAAAAATCTACCTGAAATCACATTAAAAAAAAAAAAAAACCATTAGTATCATCTTAATATCACGACGTAAAGAATAATAATAATAATGATGATGATAATAATAATAATATCCTTCCCTTAAAAAAAAAATTTTTTTACTTATGTTTTCTTTCTTCTTCTTCTTCTTCTTCAGACTCGTGAAAATTTATTTTTAATTTACATAATTTTATTATTTCAATTAAAATTTTTTTAAACGATTTTTATTAATTTAAATAAATAAATACGGCCCTGATCGAAAAATAAATTTTGGGGAGGGAGGGAGGGAGGGGGAGTTCGCCATGCAAAAAAATAAACAAGTTCGAATAAAATTATTAAAAAAAAATTATTTTTTCTTTTACCCACAAACCAAACAAACCAACAATCGCAAATACAACAACAAACATTGAATTCCATTCGGAATAATAATGATGATGATGATGATGATAATAATAATGATGATTAGTGTTATTGACTCGGGCAAAAAAAAAGACGTTTTTCAAAGACCGTAATTATTATTTGACTCGAACGAAAACAAAAACAAAAACAAAAAGAGTTTGTTGAACTGATCTCGTGAGTTTTTTTTTTGTTTTAAATTTCCAGTTTTATTTTATTATTAATAATAACAATAATAATAATAATAGTAATAATAATAATAATTTTATTATTTATTTATTAATTATTAAATAATTGTAACGATTCTTTTTGTCGTTATATGGTTTAAAAATCTTTTTACGTTAATAAAAATTATTATTTGAAAAATATTTTTAAAACACGATTTTCAAGGTTAGTATCGTCTGCTTTTTTTTTTTTTTTTTTACAAACCACTGTCATTATTAAATTGACGCTAGAGTTTACAAGTTTATTTATTTATTTATTTATTATTTTTATTTAATTATTTATATTTTTATGTGGAACTTAGTTTTTTCTTTTTTTTCTTTTAGACGAAATGAATAATTTAACGTCCATTCTGGTAAGTTTTTGTATAATTATTATTATCATCATCATCATCATCATCATCATTAATTTAATTTTGTAATAGGTTTTTTGAAAATGTGCGAGTAATGTATTTCCTTTGAATTTTGCGATTAAAAATTTATACCTTTGAAAAAAAAAAAAAGAAAGATTTATCCGTGCGAAAATGGGAGGGGGCGGAGAAAAGAGAAGGAGAAAGAGGAGGAGGAGGAGAGAGAGAAATGAAAAATTTACGGGAGCGAAACAAATATAAAAAAAACACGTGGATTGTTGTTATTGTTATTCTTGTTGCGATTTTTTGTTTTTTTTTTCTTATTAATATTATCATTATTCAATTTTTTTTATTTTTTCAGGTTCAGGCATTTTTCGTTTTGATAATTTCATTTGATTTGTGTACGTGTAAACCGATGCCTGACAGTGCTGGTAACGTTCCACAACCACCGGGTTTATCTTACGGTAAGTTGGTACTCGTTTTTTTTTTTTTTTTCTTTTGAGTCAAATTTGAAAAATTAAATTAAAATGAAATAAAAAACTTATTGTTGATAATAATAATAATAATAACACGTGACTGATTTGTTTATTTTGTTTGTTTTTAGGGGGTATACCATATGGTAGTATATCTGGTCAATTGTCTCTTTATTTTGGTGATTACGAGCCAATAATATCAGTGCCAAAAACAAAAGATAACGATTCAATAATACTCGACAATGATTTACAATCGTTGTGACGTGTCGGAAAACATGAAAAAAACTTTCCCCCCCTTTTTAATTTTAACCGTTAAATTTATTATTTCGTCTGCTTGTTACTTTTACAACATTTAAATTATAAAAAACAAAAAAAATTTTTGTTTGTTCTTCATTTCGATTCCAGCTTCCAAATTTGTTAACATATTTTTTTTTTCGTTTGCTTTGAATCGTTGAATAAATAATAATAATAATAATAATAAATTTAGTACTCATTTAAAAGA